GCCTCTGTCTGGGAGCAGGTTTTTACCGAGGATCTGTATTTTGCATCTAGCCGGCGGCTCTTTCTCCCGGGCATCCACGTCTTGCAGGTGAAGCCCTTTGAATGGAGTCTCCTCTGCTTCCCTCATAGCCCCTCTGTGGCAACCTGACCTCTGGGTAGGTCTGTGTCCCAGGCAGAAATCAGGCAAAGCGGCAGCCTGGCCTCGACTTCCGGTTTCTGCGCTGTCTTGAGACAAGTGCACCCGATCGATTACTAGATCATTGTTATCTGTGTTTGTTCAGCTGCTAGACCAACAAAATAATAACCGGTTTCCAGGAAAACTGGGCCTCGCCTGAAATAGCTAGAGAGGGAGGAGGGCATTCAGCCTCCTGGAACAGCGGCTCAGTGCAGCCACCCAGGACGAGGCCACTGCTGTGGACGCTGGAGGAAAACGTAGGCTGCGGGGGTTCCTCGGGGCCCTCGGCCTCCCCTGTGCACAGCGCTCGCCGCACCTGAGCCTGGCGTCTCGGGCTGCGGGTGGGTGGGGACCGCTCACGGGGCAGGAGCTCTTTTTGCTGCGCTGGCTGACTCTCAGTTGTGCCCACAACTGCCCCTCACACCTTCCTGACCTAAGAACCCGTGGCCTGGCCCGGGCTCGGCTGTGAGGCAGGTGCCTAACGGAGGCCCTGAGCCCGGCCACATGGCCCTGGCCGGATGGCAGTCCCTGGAGAGGCACATGGAAACAGGCCCCCTGGCACCAGAACCTCTCGCACCTGAGACCACAGGACGCCATCTGCCCTGCCGGGAGCGCCCCGCTCGGCCCGAAGCTCCCGACAAACAGCTCAGCTCCACACCACGGGCTCTGAGAGGGGTGAGTCGGCCTCCAACCTGGAAGGGAGGTCTGTCCGTCCAGGGCTGTGAGGCAGCTGTCGTTCCAATGAAGCGAAACATGCCAAGTCACAGTGAGTGTCACGGACGTCCTTTTAGATGTCAGCATGGTCAGACAGCTGCGCCCAGCTGCTGAGGGCAGCTCACAGACCAGTGGGTCACACAGCTCATTCCTGCAGAGGGGCCGGTCCTGCAGCCACAGCAGGGGGCACGTGGGCTCTCCGGTCCTTTGGTCCTGGGGAATCCGCCTGCAGAGACACTTTCCCCAGATGCTGAACGTGGAAACGCAGTTGTCAGAAGGTCCCCATGTGAGGACACCAATTACCATAATGACAAGTCTCTCACAAGGTTCACACAGGGGGTGGGGCGCGGGGCAGAGATGCGAGGCCAACGTTTCTTTGACCAACTCTCCACAGTCTGGAGGTTGTGTGGTACCCATCTGGTGCAGGTGTTAGCTTGGAGCTTGCTCTGCGTGGAGATAAGGCCTCCTGACACACAGACCTGACGGACGTCTGTGGGGTGCCTCATCCTCGAGGGCCGGAGGGCTCAGAAGGGCTTCTCAGAAGGGCTTCCATCGCAGGCTGGGGTCTGCGGGAGAGAGCCCGGGTGCTGCAAACCGACCCCATAGCTGAACAGGGCCTGCACGCACAGCAGCCAGGGTCGGAGCCTGGCCTGTGACCTGGACACAGCGGCATCTGGACGTGGGTGGGGATGTTCTCATGCACGGCCCTGCCCTGTGAAGACAAATGCAAGTTCCCAGAGGAGGACACAGTAGAGGCCCGCACCCATCCCCCAGGAGGGTAGGCACTCCGGCCCACGCAGGGCGGTCTGCTTCCTGGCACATTTGAGTGGCATTTGGTAGGAGTGTTCAGTGCCCTTTGTGGCCCAGGTGCTCGGTGTTAGGATGACCCTCATCCTCGGAAGTTCCTGCGGTCGGGAGGCTTCCCTGTTGTCTTTGCTGCAGGACCTGGCGCTGCAAGAGGGCAGCTCGGAGAACACTGCCAAAACCCTCGGTCCAGGTTCAGGGGTGAGTGCGTCCTCGCGGCCCCGCTGCACAGCGTCAGTTTGGGGAGCTGGCTGCGGCACTTCCTACCCGGCCCCTGTGAGCTCACGCTTCCTCCCACGGCCTCTGTGCACTGGACGGAGGAAGGCAGTGTGAGTAGGACTGTCGGGATGTCCCACTTCCCGTGTGTCCTGTCGGGATGTCCTGCTGCCTGTGTCCTGTCGCTGGAGGGAGAAAAGGCTCCAGGGTCCCGACGATCTCTGGTTCAGTGACGTGCACAGGCACTGGCACGGAGCCGCTCTGCCAGCCTGCAGGGGGCCGAGAGGGCACAACTCTGGCCTCCGTGGGCCTGCGGTGGGACCCAGCAGAGGAGCCTGTTCAACAGTCCCCCCCAGCACTCACGGTGACAGTGCCTTCTGCAGTGTGCAGAGCAAGACGTGAAGGAGCATGACCCGCAGCCCAGCCTCGGAAGGAGCCCGTCCCAGCAGGGCCAGCCGATGATCTAAACGCCTGGGCAATGGACAGAGGGGGCCCCACCATGATGGGGACCAAGGGTTAGGGGAGAGGTGGCTCAGAAGTGGCCAGGGGCTCACCCAATGGAAGGAGACTCCTGGGGGAGCAGGGATGGCATCTGCAGGGCTGGGCAGGTCCTGGGGTAGGGATGGGCAGGGGGCGTCAGTACCGGGAAGGCCGGGGCATTTGCCCCAGGGTGGGCCCTGGACACTCTTGCGACCCTTTGGCTGCTACCTGTGGTGTGGCACATCAGGCGCTACACAGTGCCTCCTGAGCAACTTCATCGCTCACTGTCTTGTCCTGAACGGAAACCAGAGGCTTCCAGGCTGCCCCAGAGAGCCGTGACGGGCACTGCTCAGAGGTGGCCTCATAGGGGAGCTTTCAACACCACTGGTCACAAGGGGCCGAGAGTGGGAGGGGCAGGCAAGGGTCTGGGGTGCGGGTGGCAGTTAGGGGTCCATGTTCAGCATCCTGGGCGCAGGAGCTCACGCCGTCCTCCACAGCACACCCAGCTCTCCCGAGTCCCAGGTGCCTGCAGGACGTGCCCGTCGAGTGGACAGTGAACTGACGCCTGGAGCTGCTGGGAGGGTCTGGGCTGGAAGTGGGCTTGGGGGTCGTGAGCCAGACGCACACACAGCACAGAACCACCCAGAGCGCAGGGAGGGCCCAGCGGCAGGGCTGACCCTGAGGGCTGGAGGGGCTGGGGACAGGGGGAGGCAGGGATGCGAGGAACAGAAGCTGTTCTGGAGGAGAACGTGCCCATGGTGCCTGAGCCCTGTGCAGAGAGCAGCCTGGGGGGGCACGGGCCAGGGTCACACCAGGGGAGGAGACTGAGATGAGCCTGTGCCCAGCACACTGCAGCCCAGCTGAGCCTCTGCAGAGGTTCTGAGCCTCTCTGTCTTGTCCCAGAGGGAATCAGCGTGACAGGTTGGGGGGTGAGAAGAGGGGGAACTGTGGGCTCAAGGGGGAGATGGCAGGTTCTAAGAAGCAGATCCAGGTAGATACCTAGAAAGAGGTCCTGAGGGGCTCCCTGAGGCCCAGAAAGGGGGGCAGTGAGGACCGAGCTCAGGAGCTGGTGTGCGAGGTGGCCTCAGAGACCAGGAACACAGAAACAGTGCTCTGGGATTTAGAAAGTACTGGACCAGCTCATGACAGCTTCAAGGACAAGACAGAAAAACACAGCTGAGCACGTGGGGTCAAGTGCATTCATAAGCACTTTCCACTGCCCTAAAAGGTACCAAGTCTTTCTCCTCGCTGTAAGAGCTTGGAAACCAGGTCCTGCCATCGCCCCCACAGCCAGCACGGGCTGGTGTCATCGATGGGAGCAGCCCCCCTTTTCTTTAAATACCCCCAACTCTTTTTATTATTTTGCAACAGGGGTCTCTCTGAGCTAAAGCCATCTAACTTGTGATCTTTCGGCCTCAACCCCCTCCCAGGTAGCTGGGATTACAGGTGGGCACCCAACAGCTCTCCGTTCTACTCAAACACACAAATAAATAAATAAATACAAAAATTGCATCCATCATAATCACCTGCTCCCTGAGTGATCATAAAGTGACCACGTGACCTCCACCCACCACAGGATGCAGAATGTCACAGAGTCCCCATGTCCTTCCCAAAGGGGAAGGGGGGTGTCCCTGGGAGCAAGTCTGGGGAGGACGGACTAGTCCTGTGGTCACACCCACTGCTCCGCCCGCACTGAGACACCTGTGCAGACGGGGCTCTGCAGGTGAGGAAGCTTAAGGGACATTTAACCAGCGACGCTGCTGTTTCCCTCTCTGTATGGACAAGAGCGACACATGGTAACAATTATGGACAAGAGCGACACATGGTAACAATCTACCTCTTGCAGTTCTGAAGCTTGTGCTTTCAAAAAGGATAGAACAAAATCTGAGAACAAACTGAGATAGTTGAGCAGCAGCTGTGAGCTCTCAGTAGTGCATCAAGCATCAGTTCTCCGGGCCTTGGCCTGATGGAGGCTGCTGGGGACCCCCTGACCCCCTGGCCCCCTGACCCCTTGACCCGGTCAGCGGGAAGACTCAAGCCCCACAGCGGACTCTAGGATCCGGCCCACACCTGCATCAACTATTCAGATGTGAATGCAAATAGCATGTTGATGGAGCCCAGGGCACAGAGAGCCCAGAGGGTGGCTGACAGAGGACACAGGCTCAGGACCACGAAGGCTTTGGCGGACCCCAGCAGCGGACCTCGCTATGGGAAGTTCACTCACTGGCTGGAATTTGCTGAGCACAGCTGTGCGCCAGGCATGCTGTGGAGACAGCACGATTTCTGCCCTGGAGCAGCCCCAAAATGAGGAGAGCAGGAGTGTGACATTCTGGTTTGATGCTAACACTGGCCACCAGCTCTGAAGTGACCTTTAATGCACTGACCGAAGCCCTTGACCCAAAACCAGAGTGACGACTGGGCGCAGCTCTGCTTCTGCCGGTCACACGTGCCGCGCACGTCCTGTTCAGGTCCCGGGAGGGTCGAGTGACTTCCCTTCCTACATGCATGCCTCGGGTACCACCCGCGGCCCAAGGATCCGCACACGCGGTGACCCTAACCCTGAAGTCCAGAGCTTAGGAGTCGCCACTTAAGAAAAAAGGAAAAAGAGAAAATCTTGCGAAGACATTTTAATTAAATACACACCTGTGAGACTTTCAAAAGGACAAAAGGAGAGTGTCATCCTGTACCAGGGCCCACGCACTGGAGCATCCGGAACGTGTCCACCACACCAAAGTCAAGCCCAGCTGCGCCGCGAGGGCGTCTAGATCACATCGCAGAGTCACCCAGGAAACTTCACTCGGGCCACCAGGCAGATTGGGCGCTGCAGCAGGGCACGGCGCCCCTGACGGGGACCGTCCTGCACTCTCCTTCGGGAGAGCCGGAAGTGGAAGCGGACAGCTGCTTGCTCACAGGTTGATCCCAGGGAGGGCCGTGGGCCTCGCGGGCTTCCGTTTCCTCCGAGGGAACACTTTCAGAAGCTTCATGCAGATTTCCTCTCTGTGAACGTCACATGGTCACACCTGAGGCCAGCTCCTAGTTCATGACCTCCGGAAAGAAGGAAACCTCTAAAATGGTCCCCGGTTCACAGGAAAGAAGAGCTAAGGACCACGTGCTTGTCCCCAACCCACAGGAGAATGAGAGGGCTGGATTCCCCACGAGAGGCACCTCAACTGTGGCCTCGCTGGGTCATTCTTTTAAGTGGCTCCAGTGCGTGGGCCCTGGTACAGATTGGGAGCAGGGGGCGTCGCCTCGCTCCTAGAGCCTCCTCCCTTCACTCGGCTCCAGCACAGAAGGTTCCAGAACAAGCCCCACTCCATACCTTGCCCAAACCCAGAAGGATCCAAGAGTTCCGTTGGCCCCAAGTGGTCAGGGAAGAGGAAGCAGAACACAGGCCCAGCCCCAACTCAAAAGCCGGCCCCCTGAGGCGTCAGAGGTGCAGCCTGCGCTGTACTCATGTGGAATTTGTCACAGGTGGGTCCCCAATCACAACTGAGCCGCCAGCTCGGGGCAGGGAGGCAGAAGCAGGCAGCCTTCCCGGGAATCATCAATATTAACAGAGCGCCGGGGTCGCTGCCAGGCATGGCCTCCCTTGGTGGACAGCAGCAGTTCTTTCACAAAGGACACAGCTGACAATCTGGAGACAGCTGGATGCAATTTGGACAGACTGGGTTGGCTTTCATCCTCTTGGGAAATTTGGCAAAATAAATGAAAATTGCCCCAACCATTGTACCAGAGGTAGCACACTCAGTCACTGAACTGGCACAGGCTGCTTGCAAGAGGGGGGCTCACAGGACAAGAGCTTCATCCCTTCCCTCCAGGTTTGGCACTCTGTTCCCAATGGCCCAAAGAAGGGCCAGAGCACAGAGCCATGCACAGAGGACATCTGTGTCCCTGTGGGAGAAGAGACCAGCTAGCCTTCCTGGGAGCAGGCGTCCCTGGCAGGCCGTGGGAAGCCCTCTGTCCTCCTACCCAGGACACCTGTCATCTCTGGCCGGCAGTCAAGGAGCTCTGCAATCTGGAGCTGCCCACGCAGCTCTCCAGGGGCCAGTGCAGAGGGGACACTGCTGCTATTCAGAAGCAGCCTCCTGAAAGCACTCGGCTGCAGCACCAACAGCCCTCTGCTTGCCCCAGGCTGCCCCTGCCCAGGCCGGTCCAGCTCTCTTCCCTTCCTGACACATGCCTGCTGCCCTGGAGGACTCCGGCCAGTCCAAACCCTGCTCCTCCTGTGTTCTGCAGGTCGTCTGTGGCTGTTGGGAATCCTCCCTGATGATGCGGAAGTAGGTTTAATGACATTTCAGAAGCCCACCTGCTACTGTCCCATGGCGATGACCCAGACGGCCCCCGGCACCTCAACACGCCAGGATTTATAATAGCAAAAACCAAAACAGCCTAAATGTGCAACAAGAAGACACTAAACTTCGCCACATTAATTCTGGTACTTCACTGAAATATAAAAGTACGATAGTGACAAAGTGACATCCGAAAAACTTCTATGTTAAATAAGAATGAAGGGAAAACTGAAAACCGAGATGTGAGATGGTCCCGTTCCTGTGGTTACCACCGTGGGAAGAGGATCCAGGCCACCACGTGGCAGTCCCACCTGCCTTCCTACACAGTCACCCCAAGGACAGAACCAACCAAGGAAGAGCTTGTCAGTGACCAGAGAGCCACAGGGACTCCAAATGCCGTGCTTATTTGGCATCTGGGGACACTCAGGACCAGAGTCAAGGGGCCTGGCACTCTGGCAAGTGGCCACTTCCCAGGGCATCGCTCCTCTGCCCGCAGGTAGACAGAGGTGAGGGTGGGCAGTACCAAGAGCCACCTCCTTCAGAGGGTCTCAGCCCAGCCAGAGCCATCTGTTCATCCGTCCATCCATCCACAATAGCTTTGCACACGCACGCGCACGTGCACTTTCTAACGCGCTCACTCCTTTACCCCCCAGCTCAGACTCTGCGGCAGGAGGCCGTGCACGCAGGTGACCGCGGATACCAACACTCCTCGATTAGACCATTCTCACAAAAATCTTTGTCCCTGTCTCCACCTTGCCCTTTCTAACACGGCCTGAGTGTTCCTTACAGACCAGGAGTGTTCTGTCCTTCTGGTCTTGGAGTACGGGCACCTACTCCTCGACCTGGAGACGGCCTGGGGTGGACCCAGTGTGAACACAACGTCCACTGATTTTCCACAAGAGCCTTAAAGTCACAGAGGAAAGTCCCTGTGCACAATGCACGCAGCGTGCCTGTGTCCTGCCGCGGGCACAGGTCAGGTGAGGGTCTTCCACTTGGACACCGTGTTGGTTTCAGATTTGGGAGTATTTTGCATTTCCGACTTTCTGATTGCGGATGTCGCACCTGTGCTCCTGGTGGAGAGGAATGAACCTCCTTTGGCTACAAACTTATTTGCTCCAACTTGAGAGTCCAAGCAGGGGCTGAGGACCCCTTCCACTCTGTACAGAGGGACAGTCTCGAGGACAAGGGCTCCAGAGATCCCCGTGGCTCTGCCTGTCGGGCTCATGCCAGCACTTGCCTAACCACCCACCCTGTTTCCTCTTTCCCCACACAAACCGCAGTTTTCCTGGGCCAGATACATCCTGACTTCCTCATTTCTTGGTCTAACCCAGATTCTCTAAGGCCTCTGAAGCTGGTGTCCTCCTGTGAGTCAGTCCCACCTGCCCGGTCTCGCCCCCTCCACGTGACTTCAGCACCTGGGCAGAACATGCAGAGCCATCGCAGCAGGGAGGTGAGGGAGAAGACCAGAGGGTGCTCTACTACCAGAGTGACAGGAGTCTGCCATTCACCCCAAGGAGAGCCCGGGAGCCAAACGCAGCAGCACTGTGGCCGGAGAGCCCCAGGCTTGGCTTGAGGATCGGGGCCTGGCCGCCTGGGGTCCCTTTTGTCCTCTCTCTCCTGCTCTCTGGGCCTCAGACCCAGTGATTCCAGCACATAGTGGGGCCTGTGAGCAGGGACCTAAGACCCTGAGGGCAGGAACCCTCCATTCCAGTTGAAGCCTCAGTGGTCAAGATGGTGGAAACCCCCCTTTCTCTCCCTGTCCTCAGGCACAGAAGGAGCTCAGTCCCAGTGGAAGCAGAGGCCTGTGTGAGAAGCCCTACCTCCTGGGGAAGGGAAGTGAGCCGTCCTCCTGTCGAGTTCTGCCAGTTACCCACAGTCATCTGGGGTCTGAGAACACTACACAGAGATTTTCAGAAATAAGCAGTTCTTAATGCCCTTCTGAGTAGTGCAGTAAAGTCTCAGGCTGCCCTGTTCTGACCTGCCCAAGAGGTGCAGCGTATCTACCCTGTGTATGCTACCCCACTGGTAGTCACCGAGCAGTGTCGGGCATCAGGTCTGGCACCATGGGGCTTGTGCGCAAGGGAACCTGGTCTTGTGTGTGTGTGTGTGTGTGTGTGTGTGGTACTAGGGTTTAACCCAGAGGTGCTCTACCCCTGAGATTTACCACTGGCCATTTTGATTTTGAGACAGGATCTTGCTAAGTTGTCCAGGTTGGCCTCAAACTTGCAATCGTCCTGCCTCTGCCCCTTGAGTAGCTGGGATGGTATGTGTGGGCACTGGTGTTACTTAAATGGCCCCGAGTGAGGCAGTAGTGACACTGGTGGTTCCACTGCAGTGTGCTGTCACAAAGGTCCCTTTTGCTACTGCCATTTATGTCCTAGTGAGCCTGATCCATGGTCAGACTTCACCAGAGGTACGTAGGAATAGGAAGAAATCACGGCATCCACAGGGGGTCGGATGGGCCCACCCAGGATGGGGACACTGTGGGAGAACACGGCAAGGGTGGGCTCAGGACAGCTGTCCACAAGGTCACGGGAGCCCCTGGCTCACTCCCAGGCCACGCGGGAGTGACATGCGTCACTCTGGGCTCTGGGTCCTGAAGGCCAGGAATGTTCACCACCCGGTTGCAGAACAGCTGTGGAGTGGCTCACGGGGCCATGGGACCAGCCAGGCAAAGGGTGGGGACACAGCAGAGTTGGAGGCTCACAGGAGGCCAGGAGGACTCAGAACCTGACCCCAAACTGTCGGGGCTGCAAGGTGCCGACACTCCCCGGGGGCTCGGCAAGGCCGTGGCCCCTCACTCCACTCAGGACGTCAGGTCACCCCACTCCACAGCAGAAGGGCCAGGGAATGGCTGGGCGGGGCATCTCCAGCCAGGACGGCACAGCCCTGCCCAGCCGGCAAGGACATCGGGGCCACTCCTGAGGCCAAGGGGAAGCTCAGTCTGAGGAAGGAAAACGAAGACCAAAGGAAACAAAGTGGAAATTTTAGAATCGGAAACACAGAAATGGAAATTTAAAGACCCACTGGCTACGCTCAAGGGCCAGACGAAGTCGACAGAGCAGAGTCACGGGCACCAAGAGAGGGACAAACAGACCCAACCTGGACGGCGAGGGAAAAGGGTTCAGAGGAACCGAGCCTGGGGACGGTGGGGGTGGGAAAGGGCCTGAGTGCCCCAGGAGGAGGACAGGAAGAGCCCGGGGAAGGAAAGACGAGCGGCCAAGCCCCCGAATGTGGCAAAGGGCATGAACCTGCAGACGCAAGCAGCTCGCTGAACCCCGAGAAATCACGCCGTGGAACTCCTGGAAACCAGGGGCGCCCAGCAAGCTCGCAGCCACGGAGAAGCCTGCGGGTGACGGGCAGGCAGAGGGCCCAGCCCCGCAGGCTTCCGGAAGTCTCAGAAGCTACAGGAGGGACCAGCGTTTTCTCTTCTTCATACCAGAGATTGAGCCTGGGGGCGCTTAACCACGTCCCCAGCCGTTTCACCGTTTCACTCTTTATTTAGAGACAGGGCCTCGCTGAGTTGCTTAGGGCCTCACTGAGTTGCTGAGACTGGCCTTAGTTTTGTACCAGGGATTGAAGTCAGGGGCACACGACCACTGAGCCACACCCCAGGCCTATTTTGTATTTTATTTAGAGACAGGGCCTCACTGAGTCGCTGAGCACCTCGCCACTGCTGAGGCTGGCTTTGAACTCGGGATCCTCCTGCCTCAGCCTCCCGAGCTACTGGGGTTACAGGGGTGGCCACCGCGCCCA